AATAAGGACCCGCAAATCAGTTGCTTCACTTGTGTGATATCTTTCAAAAGAAAACAAAATTCGCTTCTTCAGGTTACGGAAACAAAGGGGAGTAAAACAAATATGACAGGAGGACTAGATCATAGAAAATAGAGTGACAAAAGAGAATGATAACAGAGGGAAAATAACAAAGGAGATGGATGCATGGTTTGCAGTGTGTTTTGTGTTTTGTGTTTTGTGTTGTGTGGATAGGGTACATAAGGATGAGAATGGACACATGTGCCCAGCAAGGTCACTTTTTTGTCTTTTATGGTCTGCAGATCGGGAGCAGACAAAACGCCTGGTTGATGCAACGGCAAGGAAATGCTCGAAGAGAAATGAAACGCTCACTTGGAGGAAATATATGGGCCCGTTCAAGGGTTCGCAATCGGGGGGGTATAAATGGAGGCAGTGGAAGGGAGATTAATTGCAAAAAAAAAGGGCAAGGGGAGGAATAAAAGACACCAGTCTCGACGGAAAACTCGGCTTGATAGAGCATGGCTCACCGGTTCCATGTAAACTAGAGAAGCATCTTATAGCCCACTCTCCCTTTGGTTGTGGTGGTCGTGCTGAAGCATTTTGGTGGTGGGTTCTCAATTCTGCCATGTTCAGAGGTATCCTTGGCAAGTTGAGATGAGCAGTAGAACAGCCCGAGCAATAATGATCACAGTGCTTGATGTGACCAGTTTTCGTGGCGAGAGTAAAGATATCTCTTGATACTCGACGGGGTAGGACGAGCGGCTGGGAAAAGGAGCCCGGCAAGCCGTGGCATAGATAGCGAACAGTCAAGAAGTCAAGTCCACGTCCACGCGGTCGCTATAACGCAACATTCAAAACCAGGCTTACATCCCGAACTTGCGAACCGGCCAAATCCTCGAGGACAGGAATAAGATCTAATAGTTCATTATCGTGGGCGTCCGAGAACCAGCTACTAATAGGAATGGCATGCTGAGGGTGGAAAATGTAAGACGTTGGAGAATTGTCGATGATAATGGTATCTCGGAGGTCGCGGCCAACTTGAGAAAGGTCCTGCGGCGTCATCGTCAAGGGTAAGTTAAGTGCATCACTTGGTTATTATAGGAATAGGGCGAAGCACATACCTTTACATAGTTTCCCTGATGATTATAACAGCTGTCTCTAAATAACCGATGGTGTATCACTTTATGGATATCTAGCTGATCTAATAGAGGATCACCATACTGCAAATTGAAAAAAAAAAACAAAAAAAAAACCGTTAGTTACTCCTGGCGTCGTCTCTCATAAATACCCGCTTTTGACGAACCTTGGATACTGATGCTGTAAAAACGACGACTTCATAGAGCTCTCCTACTCGCTTCATAAACTGATCAACGCCGGGACGTTTGATTACATAGATATTATGATATTGACCCTCGATTTCCACTGGGATGGTGAAATCTGCTTTTTCAAGGACCTTAAAAACCAGCTTTTGTCAGTACAATCGCATAGTAATATCATCTAAACGAAACCAAAGCGCTTTCCTTACTTTGAAGCTGCTGTGGACAAGGGTTTCATCAAGGTCGAGGACAAGGCATTTGCGGCTCTGAAGGTGGGGCTCAATGGGAGGTAATAACCACTGCTGCTTCTCTGGTTGAACGGGTGGAGCGGGCGGGATATACTTGTTTGTCGATTCAGCATGGCGAGCTAATGGAGGTGGAGGTGGAATCTCCATCGATCGCTGCGCGGTTTCGTCATTGGATGGAGTATCCACGTCTTCTTCTATGTAGCTATCCGCGGACTGCGCATCTTGCATGGCAGCATCGTGATCACCATTGGGCTGCTTCGGGACGGCGTCCGTGGCTGGTTGCTTCTCAAGGGGAACGCTGGTTGTGTTTGAAGAGGTCACTTGCTCTGACGCAGGAATTGGTGGTAAATCCGAATCTCGGCTTGTATAAGTCTTAGAGCCCGAAGGCGAGCCAGAGCCTGATCCTGACTTAGATGGTGCTGGAGGCTTTGAATCTTTATCAATATCCATTTTAACCACGCTATCCAACCCAGATTCTCCTGTGACTCCGGCCAGGCCGTTATCAGTGTTAGGCTCCCTCCGGTCCGCACTTGTCTTTAACGCAGCCTTTTCGTCAGAAGAGGCGGGTTCTCTGGAATCGGCGGTGCTCGAACCTGCAGCGCTGGGTTCTGTCTTCTCGGCTGGCGTTGGCTGCCTGCCACGGGACGACTGTGTTTTTACAGATTTTTTGGGGGGTATTTCAGGTTCTTCCTGATCGTCGTTCGACGTGCCGCCACAGCAACTGAGGAAAGAAAACAGCTTCGAGGGCCCCTTTGCCATTCTTTCTTTAGGCTGATCATCTGTATCGGGCGTGGACACATTGTTGGTGTCTGTGGCCATAGGTGCGTCGGTGCGCCTGGACCGCTTACTGCTTGCCAAGCTTCCAGCCCGTTTTTTACTTCCAGCATTGCTTTCAGTTCCATCTTGTGGCCAGTCAGGAGCAGCGGGTTGTCCCCGTTGTTTTGCATTGGAAGATGACCGCGATGGGACGCGAAGAAAGGATCGCTTTTTCTTTGGGCGCTCAGTATCGCCAGATGAACCTTGCGCCGAGTTCGTATGCGATGTATGTCGCTCTAGAGGGGCATCGCCGATGGAATGATCATTTGACGATAGGTTTTTTGAACTTGCATCGTTAGGAACTGGCAAGGCAGAGTCTTAAGAGAACGAGGTTGGTTAGAACGAGATGGTTTCAGGCACGATATTATAACCTAAATAGAATAACTCACTGGACCCTGGGCCGTTGGATGAAGCGGTCATGGATAGGTTCGCGATAGATAATTCTGGCGTGAGGAAGGAGGAGGTGGTGTTGATATCTGGAATGCCAAGAAGAATCGGGGCTATCAATATACGTCGTTTTCAACACGCCGGGAGAGACCCAAACAAGAACGTGATAGTTAAAAACTACGACACTTGTAACCCAAATCAAAAGACTGACAAGAAAAAGACTTCTGGCCTTTTTTGTTCCTGAGCCTATGCGACCAGAATTGTAGACTTGCTTGCTTTATGAAGATAGCGAACAATGAAGACTAGCTTCATTCAGCTCGACGAATGGGTCGCAAAATATATCCACGAAATAGACAGCTCCGTGGTCGCCTTCCCAGTCAGCCTTGAGCTGTCAATGCTAGCAAAACACGCCAGGAATTGAACCTATATAAACTGGCTGTATCGATCAAAGAGCGGAGAATTCCAGCGGGCGAAGTTTCCGTAAACTCGCGTCTTCGGGCTAAGGAGAACACCGTTCACAGCAGCAGTGTATCGTAAAGATCATTCAAGGGCTATCCCAACAGACCCCCAAGGTGATCGATAAAGCTCCACGAGTGTTCCAAGCGGCAGATGAACGAAGTGAGACAGAGTCGGACGAGGGGACGGCGGGCCGGAGGAGGCCCTTGCGACAGACAGAGCGAGCCAAGGCTGGGATAGAGAGCAAGCAGCCCAAGGAGGAATAGTCCAAATTTGGGGGTAGAAAGGCCGAAAAAACGGGGTGAGAGGACAGGTCTAACCCTGGCTGGCACAAGCGAATTGGCGAAGGGGGAAAGAGTCAGGGCAAGGAACCAGCTCAACGGACTCGAGAATGATACTGTTTGCAACGGGGCAGACGCGGAAGACACCACAGGATATGAAGAGCAACAGAGGTAGCAAAGGGTCAAGGAGGAGAAGGATGGAGGAGGAGGAAGAAGACAAGCGGAGGCGGTTCAACGCCAGCAGTAATAGGAGCGGTTGGTGGTTGGTTGGTGGTGGTGATGGTTGGAGGGATTATTGGGAAGGGAGTCTGGACAGTCTGGAAAGGGGGCTACTTGGTATGGTCATGTACTGTAACCCGGCATACGGTAACTTGTGGCTTGCCTAGAGGTGGGTGTGCTATCCGTCTATTCCAAGGTTGTAATAATGAATCACGTGAGGTATTGTTTCGTAAATATCTTGCTGCGTATTATCGAAGTACCTAAGTACACGCATCATTATACTGATTTCAAGAGCACTTGTGGCTGGAGCCATCCCATCCTGACGTTACATTGGCTGGCTTCCAAGTGAGAGTGACCATTCGTATCGTCAGGGAATTGTATGTAATGTTACCCCTTGACGCGGGCGGGCTGCGGAATTTTCATTACCGATACACTCCAAGTTCTAAAAATACATAGGCACGTGATATAATATCTTACGACCGAGTTCCGTGCTCCGTACTTCGTAGAAGGCGGGGAGAGCTGCTTCAAAAAAGTTTGTATACGCTGTATGCACGCCCCACCAACAACGACGTCTCTTGTTACAAAACCATGCGCTGAGTGTACTCAAAAATAATTGTTGACTTGCATGTACACGACGCTAGCCATCTTTTAGTAGCGTATTGTGCCTCATATAGCAAAATATAGAATTTGAGTTGCGTGTTGTTGATTATCCCAACTACTCAATCTCGGTTCCTCCACTAACTACATTTCCATTGATCAGGGTATTAACTAGGTTCTGCGTATAACCTCCTGTGCCCTTACTGTGCTTTAATTTGTATTAGAGACCGCAAAATAGCGCGCGCTCTCCCTGCGAGAATCATCGGCCTAGCGAACTGACTTCCGCAGCTAAATAATATCGGCTTGGTCAAGCTGAGCGAGCAACCCATGATACGTTGGCGACCTTTTTTTGAAAGGCGGAGTAAGGGAACCTGCATGGGTTCCCCGTGTACGTGCACACATAGCACTTGATGCTGTTGCTCGTGGTTTTGAACTGCAGGTTTCGCCGTGTAACGTACCAGCTTAAGCTCGTCTTAGTAGTGGTGTCATTCATCCCTTTCGCCGAGATCAACGACATCAGTGGTGTGTAGGTAGTTATCTCAGCCACTCAGGTGCCTCCGTACGGACATTGCGCAAAATGCCAAACATGTTCCTTATGCTCCCTGTGCACTGTCACGTTTTGGGTCAAGCTGCATGGAGTAACTCACGATGCTTGGGCTCATCTTTTCAAGCCGATGCACAAGATGTTATCCAGTTCGAATGGCGGCAAAATTGTCGAGGAGCAAAGCTCCATCTGCGCTGTGGAATCGAAGCGCGCTCATCAACTCGGTTCCTGTCAATCTTGTAAACTGCCACAGGTTGGGTTCGTTGCTCCTATTGGGCCGTCTATTTTCTTCAAGGCGCTTACGGAGAAATCTAGATCGAAATGCGGTTAGCCAACAGTCTGCCCGCCTACCTAGGTACCCGATCCCCGAACCATTTTTCGCTGGGGCCACTCCGGGTAATTTACCGCTAGCAGGAGAGCTAAGCCTGCCGCTCCAGCTTGGCAGCGCCCTGGTGTGCTTGGTCCCACTGTGATAACGACAGCGATTATTGCTCTGTACACAGCGGTGCGTGAACAGGCAAAACATCCCGCCGATTATGTTGGCTAGACGTGGTCTCTGTAGGCAAATTTTCATGGACTGGCGAATGGTTTGCGGTTGCATGCAGCATGATATGCTTCAAGAAAATAAAGGGTAGCCAGCCAACCAGGTGCCAAAGTAGAAGCTTTAACCCCGGAAATATTCAGCAAACCCGCCAGCGAGCGAGCTCTAGGGTAGCTAATCTCCACGAATCACAAACTGGACACGCTGCTATTGAAGCATTCTTTTGGCGAAAGCTATGTACGCTGGTACATGTAGTGTACTGCGTACGTACATACCGAGGGGTTGATATTATTTGTTTGATGCTCGGTTGCTCATTCGCCAGTGCGCGCAGACTTCTACAGCGTATGGGCGGCTACGCAAGTTACATTACTGCGCATTTCTCAGTTACTTAGTATTGTATATTACACACGTAATTATTTTTCAATTCGCTAACCTCGTATAATACAATACTCTTGGATATTAACTAGTCTGGCTACACTCGGCACGTGATTTTGATGTCATGTGAGTCTCCTGGATTCTGGGCGTCGTCACATGTCATTGAATTGCACCCACGGTATTCTTCAGCCGAAGCGTATCTTGTTTGTTTCATGCTACCTTCATTCCTTCGAGTTACACCTTGTATCTGGTATAGTTGGCGTTTTCCCGACCTGCAACAGACTCAGAATATCCAGGGAGCCTGCTGGCATGACCTAATCCTATAACCACGTACCTGACGCGGCGCAAAAAGAAATCTGACCTCAAAGAACTTGCCCGATATCGTTTTCCAATCCAAAGGCCGTTTTCGAGGCTGACAATGCAATCTCAAGACGGGGGATAAAACGGGATACTTTAGCCCCCAAGTTCAGCCGGCTGTGAGCGACTATACAAGATACTTAATACACGGACACAATGGCTGCGCAGTCGACGTTGCGACCTCCACAGGATCCCTTGCTCCTCCTCTTTGCCTACTATTCGAAGCTGTTGCAAGACCGATTCCGCAAATCGTCCAAGACTGCTAAGCTAATTGCAACTATAATTCTTTTATTATCGATAATCGGAAGTGGGTATGGGGGATATCGCTGGTGGCATGAATGGTCGAAGGAGAGGGCTGAGGGGAAACGCCTGGTGAGGAAGAATTCCGGTCTTCGCGGCAAGGATGGAACACGGATAATATATGTCCCCTACAAGTCGTCGGTAACGACTTCCGATACCTCCAAAGTAACCATTCGCCCGACAAAATTGACGACATTCGATGCGCATCGACGGCTATTTCTTAATCCTCCCAGGGCTGCCGGCCTCGGTGATATATCATCTCTACCATCCCAAATTCCGCCCCCCTCTACCAGACCAGGCTTGAATCTGGCCTTCCTGCACCAGTTTCTCAGTCTCTTAAGCATCATGATTCCGAGGTGGAGGAGCAAGGAAACTGGATTCTTGATTGGTCACGGCGTCTTTCTCATGCTCAGAACATATCTATCTCTCGTGGTAGCACGACTTGATGGAGAGATTGTGCGAGATTTGGTCGCTGGCAAGGGTAAAGCCTTCCTCTGGGGCCTGATAAAATGGTGTGGAATCGGCACATTCGCGTCTTACACCAATTCTATGATCAAGTTCCTCCAGTCCAAAGTCTCTATTGCCTTCCGAACGCGACTCACAAGGTATATACATGACCTTTACCTAAACGATAACATAAACTATTATAAACTCTCCAATCTTGATGGCGGTGTTGGCGAGTCGGCGGACCAATTCATCACGCAGGATCTCACCCGGTTCTGTGCGGCCTCTGCGAAGCTATATTCTTCTATTGGGAAACCACTAGTGGACCTCTTCGTTTTCAACTACCAACTCTATCGTTCGCTGGGACCCCTAGCACTGACAGGAATCCTCAGCGGATATTTCGGTACAGCAACAATACTGCGTCGACTTTCTCCACCATTCGGAAAGTTGACAGCGGTCGAGGGTAAGAAGGAGGGTGACTTTAGAGGTCTCCACTCCCGACTTCTGGCAAATGCTGAAGAGGTGGCGTTCTACGGCGGAGCTGAAATGGAACATGTGTTCCTCTCCAAAAGTTTTAAGGATCTACAACGATGGATGGAGGGCATATATAGCCTGAAAATCCGCTATAATATGCTTGAAGATATGATTCTTAAGTATTCTTGGTCCGCCTTTGGGTATCTAATCACGTCGCTTCCAATATTCCTGCCTGCGTGGGGCGGCCTAGCTGGTGTTTCCGAGATGGCTCTCTCGTCTATCGAAACTTCTGGGAGGGAGAGAGATCGAATGAAGGATTTCATTACAAACAAGCGACTTATGCTTTCCCTAGCGGATGCTGGTGGCCGTATGATGTACAGCATTAAAGACCTTTCTGAGTTGGCAGGATATACCTCTCGCGTCTATACGTTAATATCAACTCTCCACCGGGTACAGGCTAATGCATATGCATCTCGCCGTGGTTCCCATCCTGAATTATACTCACTTTCAGATGTCCAGGGGACGATCCATAGCGGATTCGACGGCGTGCGTCTAGAACATGTACCTGTAGTAGCGCCGTCTCTCTTCCCTCAAGGGGGTGATGAACTTATCGAATCATTATCCTTTATAGTGCGTTCTGGCGAGCATCTTCTAATTTCAGGACCGAATGGTGTCGGAAAATCCGCCATTGCTCGCATCGTCGCGGGTCTCTGGCCTGTTTACCGGGGCCTGGTTAGTCGGCCGAGAGGATTTGGTGTAGATGGCATAATGTTCCTCCCGCAGCGTCCATACCTTAGCCTCGGCACCCTACGTGACCAAGTCATTTATCCCCATAGCGAAATGGACATGTTAGAAGATGGGAGGAGTGACGCGGATCTACTTCAAGTGCTGAACGATGTCCATCTTGGCTACCTACCCGATCGTGAGGGTGGTTGGGACTGCCGCAAAGAATGGAAGGACGTCCTAAGCGGTGGCGAAAAGCAACGCATGGGTATGGCAAGGCTCCTCTACCACGAGCCTCGATATGCATTCATCGATGAGGCTACGTCTGCTGTCTCCTCTGATGTCGAAGGCTTGCTCTATGAAAAAGCCAAGCAGCGGGGTATCACTTTGATCACAATCTCCACGCGTGTTTCGCTGAAAAAGTACCACACCTTCAATCTCACCCTTGGCATGGGACCGGACGGCACAGAATGGGAATTCGACCGCATCGGCACGGAAAAGGAGAAGATGGGTGTCGAGAAGGAAATACAGGAGCTCCGCAAGCGACTTGATCAAGTTGAGGGGTGGAAGGCACGGAAGCAGGAAATCGATGCCGAGTTGCAAAAGGTGTGGGTTCGTGATGGTGAGGCTGAGCTGGCTCCTCCGCCATACCAGGCGGGCGAAAAAGATGAGGTCGAAGCTGAAGGGCAAAACGAATAGGGGGGTGGAGACGCGGATGCCCCGCGGAATGCGGATTGAGATGCATATGTAGTGCCCATACAGCTACGGATAATCTGTATGCACAAGCTGGAATCACAGAATAGAATTGTGTGAGGCGCTCTGTTTGGTGGATCGGCTGCGTCTATTTTTTGTTACGTCATACTTAATTTTTCCAATTGCTAGCATCACATGAATGATCCATTTGAAACTAGTTGCATCTTCTCAGAATAATAAGAAAAAAATAATAATTTTGACATCCTAACATACCTTGGAAGGCAACACGGAAACTAACACAAGCTTGTTTGGCGGCACAGCTAATCCGTACAAGTAAACTGCTTCTGTTCAAACCGGCTCTAGATAACTAATAACCTTTCTCAACGTCTAGCCCGGCTAATCGACAAATCATTCGAGGACAATGAAAAAACTCAAAGATCAAAAGAAAAAGAAAATCAAGCACACATGAATAGCCGTACGGCTGTGTCTCACCATATCAAGGCAAAAACAAGAAAAAAGGATCTCGCAACATACAAGGATCCGTGTGCGGATGTCATATTTCGGCGATGGCTGCTTCCCCGAGCACACCAAGGGGAGGGTGACCGACCTAACCAGTCAGTGGTGGCGGCATAACCTCCCTCTTTGGCCTTTGGAGAATTCCTCTTTATTTTTAAGACGAAATGCTTTGCTTTCAGACTTGAGATTATCAATTTCGTGAAGATACCCGTCCCAAAGACGAAAGCGGACGAAGAAGAACGAGCTATACGCCCATTTACGGACAGCTCTAAGTAGAGTAGTATATGAAGGAGAGTGAAATATCCTCCCACCCAATATCCTCCTACTCTCAACGATGTTATCCAATATCCATTTCATTGCCCCAGTAGAGATGATGCTCTGCCTGGTCTTCGTCCTTCTCATCTCCCCATTCCTCCTGACCTGGGTATTTACCAGCGTCAAGGCACGTTGCGAGTTCCAGCAAGGGAGAGAGCCCCCCTTGATCCCTTATGCCATACCATGGCTTGGTCATGGACTGTTCTTCCGCCGCGGAACGACTCGTTTCTCGAGCTGGGTTAGGTTGGTTGACTCTTTTTTTTGCTTCTCTTGTTTTCTAGGGGGTGGTTCTATATCTTAGTCCAAGAAAGGAGATAAACTGAAAAAAAACCGGGAGGAGGAAAAGAGGGGAAAGGGGGTTGAATTCTAGCAGACTTTCGCTTATTTATGTCTCGATCTCACATTTTTTCTAGGGGAAAATATCCTAGTCTTCCCGTGTCGAGAACATTAATGGCAGGGAATTACCTGTATACAGTTTTCGACACTAAACTGGCAAGCCAGATAGATCGCCGCCCAAAGCTATTCACCTTCGATCCCATCGTGCTGCTCGTGAATAAAGCATTCGGAGCCCCTCAAGCCGACCTTAAAATCCTTGAGAAAGGTCCCACTGGTCCAAACGGTGCAGGTGACGGCCAAGGCCTGATCCCTGAACTCCATCGACAACATATCCCTGGCCTCAGTGGTATAAATTTACCCCCGATGGTATCTAAATTCAACGAGGTTTTGACTGCAAGCTTAGAACAGGCGTTTTCAATGAAAGAAAGCCATGGTAACAGCGGCACATGGAAAACTCTGGACTTTAACGAGTTCCTGATGCGGCATTATACGCTTGCTTCCATTCCGATGATAATGGGGACTCGTCTCATGGAAGTTTGGCCCCAAGCATATAAAGATCTTTGGGAATTTGATTCATGGGCATTGGCACTTACGACGAACTTACCCGGCATATTTATTCCAGAGGCTGCTGCAAGTCGAAGCGCGATGGTTTCTGTCTTAGAACGATGGGAAGAGGAAGCAACCAAGCACCGAAAATTTGAAGACGTGGAATCGGAAGATCCCGCGTGGGATGAATATTGGGGAGCCAGGTTGATGAGGCAAAGACACCGTACATTTCTAAACAATGGCATCAGTAAACGAGGGCGGGCTGTTTTCCACCTCAGCCTTATGTGGGCGTACGTTGTTCCCCCCTATCCCTCTCCTCTTGCATCATTTTCTCCCCATCTAGTGCATAGCTGATTGGTGCATAATTTAAGAACAAATGCAAATGCCATCCCGGCCGCGACATGGATGCTGATACATTGCGTTCTCGACCCGCAGCTCTACGGTCGAGTTCGTCGCGCAATAGCATTGTCTCAGAAACAAGATGGCACGCTAGACATCGGAACCCTAGCCACAAACAAGCTCATAAAATCGCTAGTCCTTGAGGTACTTCGGCTATACGTTTCGTCACCATCAGTGCGGCTTGTCTTGGAAACGACTGAGCTTGGGGGTTACGTGTTTCGCAAGGGAGGAACGATATTTATTCCCGGCAGAGAATTGCAAACAGATCCAGATGTTTGGTCTCCGGACGGCACGTTTGTGGATGCTTCTGAATTCTGGGCGGAAAGGTTTATTGACAAAGAACCAGACGATGACGAAAACACGGGAGCAGAGATTAACGCGGATACGAAATTGGAGAACCTGGGTGGACAGAATGTGATAATTGAAACTGGATTGACCCTGTCGGCGGACGCGATGTCGATACCCGGCAAGGCAAGATCAAAGCCGCTCAGAGAACGAATGTACTCCATGCGTCCCTTTGGAGGAGGCACCTCCTTCTGCCCTGGAAGGAACCTCGCGATGTATGAGGTCGTTGTTGGCATGGTGGCCATATTGTCGGCATTTGATATCGAAGTAGATAAGGAAGCACTGGCTTCGAATGGAATGCCGCAACCAAACACTAACTTGTCGGGAACAATGGGCCCAGATAGGCCGTTTATGGTGAGAATGAAGAAGCGAGAGACTGCGGAATAGAGCCCACAGGGCTTAGGTAGAGATTCCAAGAATATGGCGGAGTAGGGGTATGAAATTATTGAAGACATATGGAGATAGAACGATAGGGAGGATGCAGGATTAGTGTTTATTTCTAGTTAGCAAACGACAGCGACAGATGTATGGATATATATGAAGAAAGTAGCAAAATAGTCTAGGATTTCAGTGAGATCGGAGGGAAACTCTCGAACAATCAATGATCAGCCATTATATACATACATAAAGTCATAAGTCATACTCGGATTATCAATGAGCTACTTCACTCCCTGTAATCCATTCCATTTTGCAAGGAATATGTTCGTAAGAAGCTTCTCTGAAGCCGCCGCAAGCAACTGGGGATTTAGCCATGCTGGAGATAACCTGAATATGGAAGATCGGGACGACGCTGGGTGCTTTCAGAGCTTCATTATTCTAGCACCGTCCTTTAACGTATCGCTTTCACATTCAAATATGCTAAGCTTCTTCCAAGTTCATCAAGCATGGACGGATGAGCATGAAGATATACTATGGACTTGCACCCGATGGGGTTTTAAGCTTCAAACCTTCGGTTGTGACAAATGGTCCTAAGGCTAAGCTTCATCATATCTAGATAAGGAGGAGCCTTCTTGCGTTCGCATTCGGGTTAATTCTTAACATCATCATTCTTCGGGAGTTGACCTCAACACTAGGATATCAGGATACCACCTCCAGAACTTCGGCGCAACTGTCAGGTTGTCAGTGTATACATATTTTCTTTCGCTGGGGTTCGATGTAACTTGCCTTATTCCACCCAGGCGCATATTCCACTGCCACCATATCTCTGATATATTGGCAACCGGATAGATACGCCTTCACAATTACATAGGGTCGGAGGGCGTATTCCTCTCTTTAACCTTTCCCACGCTGAATCGGTTCCACTCGCTAACTCCCTCTTCTTCCGCCGGTCCGTGAAAGCATGAAGAATAAGCACATACAACATATCCAGGTGCTCGAAATTCCTCCTATTGCTCTATGTAGTGAGGTATGAGGTGAACCCCCTCTTGAGGATATCCTTTCATATACTTACTCTACGTCTCCATGAAACTAACTCATTTCCCTTGTATGTAATGTACATGTACATGAATGAGATTAATAGTCACCCGTGTTCATTGTATGAGGTGTTAGCGAAATAAAAGCTGCAATATTTGCGTCAAACTAAATAACAAGCTCGTCGATTTAGAAAAAGGAACATGAATTCAGAAGTGACACACCCCCCCTCCAAAGCTCACTCCTCTCCGCTCAATTGTCACTTGAAGGTTTGGGTTTATCTGAATGCACCAATCAGATCCACGGCTTCATATGATCCACGTGACTTTCGTTCGACTTTGAATTTCTCATTTTATATTTTTTTTAACTCATTACTTTGTTTCTTTTTAAAATTCATAAAAACGCGTCGACTATTTCATTTCGAGGGAATATATCTAATGTAAAATGATCAAAAAATTAGAATCTCCTTTTTAGCCAACTAGCGCAATTTTTTTTACGATACAAAATGCCGCCTCCTAACCCGCCGTCCACGAAAGATGACGAAGGCGTCGTCAAGGTCTGCATAGACAAGACGTTTACGGATGGAGACATAAATCGCTGGCCGACAGAGTCGCGATTTGAAAGAGAAGATCCGCGTCTTTATTTGCTGAAATTGGCTAATATGTGGATGAAAGCGAGAGGCGAGGCAAGACCAGGTTAGTTGGTGTCTTTGATCTCCTCAATATGGTGCCATGCTTCCTTTGTCGTAACTCTTTCATTCTCATGTTCTGAATAACTGTTGCTTTGTAAAATATTGTATGAACGTGTCGTGTGATGTCGTTGCGCTGCATCTTCAATTCTTCCCCATGTTCTACCCTTTTCAAAACTTGAAGAATTGGGTTAGGATGTATGAAGGGTTGATAGTTCTTGGAGTCTCTCTGTATTTTTGAGCTTGATATTACATATATCAAACTTGTTCCTTGTTGGTTCCCTATCTCGACTCAAGCGTTGCCATGTTAACAATTGATTCAACCCGGCTGGAGTTTAGGGAAACAATATATCCTGGACCAACTACCCGAAGGATATGTATATATGTCTCGAGCACGCCAACAAAATCCCGAGCTTGTCAGTACTAGTACCTCTGCCAGATTTTCAGAAAATGTTTGTATATTTCATGAACACAAGCTGATTGGCATCGAAATAACACCAGCGGGACAAATATCTATACGGCCACCCATCAGGATACTACTATAACTCTCCAAATAGATTCTGGCCTCATTTCTACTATTTAATGACTCATGGTGCCACTCCATGCGGCTGCGATATCTGCAAAGCTGGTAAGCAAGCAGCTAAGTACGACGACCCTACCATGGCGGGGCAGCGCCGCAAACCTGGACCTAAACCTAAGCAGAAGCTTGGTGGGGTGAGCAAATCCGCAAATGGTGCAGGAAACAGGTTCGGTAAGCGATTTACCCGTTTGCTCTTCTTGGAGAATATATCGCGGTTTCTTCATTGAGACGTAGCCTCTGACATGTGTTTGTTGGTATAGGGCGTCCTCAAAGGAGAAACTATCTGGCTGAGGATGAGGAGGGAACACCAGACGTGTTCAAAATCCTAGTCTCCAAACTAAAGGAAAGAGGCAGCATCGACCAATCGATTAAAGAACCATTAAGCATGGATTGGAGAGCACAACGCAACACGCTACAAGAACATCTAACTAGAACTTTTATGCAACATTCGTTTATCCCTCGGCTTGGCGAACTTGTTCTCTGGTGCTACTCCTTTCAGGGGACAGAGCTTAAATTCAACTGGGTGACTGAAAAGTTCGAAGTGTATTGCCGGAAAACGCGAAAATTCCTTGGCACCCCTGAATGGCGAGCGGGAACTGTGGCGCAAACGGCCGAGGAACCTCCTGTTCTTGAAGACATTGTTACGGAAACCAAGAAAAGATTTGCTGTCAACATATCTGGTTTCCGGATAGAGACATTCCCGGACCCAAATAGCACTGACAAGAACCTCTCGCGCCAATACAAATATGTACCCCTGAACTGCATTCGGCCTCTGAACTACTGGCAGATATTTCTGCAAGGCGTCCTTCCTGACGACTATCACCCATCTATTAAAAACGCGCTCACGGTCATGCCTTCGTGCTCCGTGGTCGATAAGTACCATTTCAAGGGCACGTGGCCGGACGCGACGGTATATTGTAGAGGCATATTTATTGGCTCCGAATTCCTAATAAAGGGTGATGGCGTTAGACTCACACCACGCTCACCATCACTTTCGGCAGATCCATACAACCGTGTCACCGATGTGCTAGTCATCGAGAGTATCCAGGTTAAGCTGAGGAACTGCGACGCCGACCTTGCGTCTCCCCTGCTATGTCAGTCAACTGCAGTTCGACTTGTGGGCAAAGCTTACACGCTATCTCCAAAAAATGCCTATCGAGAGCCGGATTCAACTATGGCTCCGAGACCCCTTTCAGATGAAGAAGTCATCAATTCTTTTGAGTGCGTGGGAATGAGTGGCTATGGCACATGGTACCGCATGCAACCAGAGAAGACACGTGTTCAAATATCCCTAGATCATGTTGTCGGCCGTTGCTACGAATCGGAGGTCATGTCCCTCATGTTCGATGAGATCTCGCTGGGCATCGACCTGGAAGGGGTGACGGCGGGCCGTGAATATGGCCGATTGACCGATCAACGATTAGCCCCGGGCAAAGAGTGGTTCTTCGGAGATACCAGGGTCGAGACCCTTGCGCTGGAAAGCTTGAATTTGGAGGAAGTTGGCATATACGATGACATGCGAGATCCCAAGATGTTCCGCGCAAATCTGCATATTATTGATGGCAACGCCACGGGCGCAGATATCAGAGATGCCAAAATTCCCCGCGCAATGGGCAGGCCACCACGGGCGGGTCTCATTGGCGGCAGAACTACGTCGTCCACGTTTGAAAAAGTGGGTAAGATGACTTCGCTGGTGACTAGCGCGCTTGGGCCGCTGGAGGCGTCGGCAAACCAGACACCAATGGACCTTACGTCTGCTGCTGGTTCGGATGTCAGTGGGGGTAGTGAGAGCAGTGAAAGTGACGACCTGCAGACTGCTCTCCAGCAGATACCTCTGATCCGTGGCGGAACAGAGGAGAGCGAGGGCGGTGATTATAGGCCGAGCGGTTCGAAGCCGAAAAAGGCTAAATACGCGTGACCTTACATTCCGGCGTTCTGATTTGGACAAGTTTTATTTTATTTTATTTTATTTTATTTATTTATTTTTTTTTTCAGCAGGGTGGTGTTTGTTCGGTTGGTTACGATTGCAATGGGTTTCCTCTGTTCCTCCCGAGACGGGAGCACCATTTCAACGCATGGGCTGGGTTTGATATAAACTGTTCGTTTTCAGGCCTTTTGCTCATGTCCATTTTCTTTCATTCTACGCATTTAGTGTTTGCCCCTTTGCCTCTTTATTTTGTCCTTCCCCATGTACTACTAGCAAGATACCTCTGTATTCTATCCCCATTTTCAGCGTTTTAAGACAGCTAATGGCGCCTAAGTGATAGTTGAGCATACAATTTTACTTCTAGTTAGCAGAATATTTTTTACTGTTTCCAAGCGCTGCCACAACCATACATAGAATGATATGGTTTACATAGAGTAATCAATATAAAGGCAATCCTAAATAATAAATGAAATAGGATGAAATAAATTTAAATCCCCGCCCAGCTAGGTCTCAATTTACGATACGGAGTACGGTTATAATACAACAAAGAAAAGAAAAGAAAAGAAAAGAGAGAAAAAATAAAAAATAAAAAGAAAAAAAAATAACGCCTAATGATTCCTCTCCACCACCTCCCTCGCAAAATCCGCAAACGTCTTTCCCTCCTGAACCTCCTCACCCAGATTCGGCTGCGTAAACACAGCCAACGTATTCCGCGCAACCTTCCCCTTCACATTCTTCACCCCTCTCACAAAATGTGGCACGGCCTTGAATCTCCCCTTGGTAATCAACTCCAGCGCCTCCCCCGTCTGAAACGCCAAACAGTCCTTGGGGATATTCACCTTGACAACCTGTCCTGTCCGTGAGCGGATATACAAGCCAGCCTTCGGGTCTGGGGAGGCGGATAATTCGGGGATACCGCTGCTAGACGAACTTGACAATGAGGAGGAATTCGGCGGATTCGCCTCCTCATCAACGAACATGGCAGAGGTGAGGCCAGTGAGGCAGCTGTGGTCAATGTGCGTCGCACACCAGTCATCCTCTTCTTCACCTTCGTCGTCCTCACCTGCGCCTCTTTGCACGCTGTCTGTTCCAGCCTCGTCTACCACAGGGGGGAAGTAATGCAACAACCTCGCTTTGGTGGTCAAGCTCGTCTTGACAACATGCTCCAAATAACCGCTCTTATACCCTTCGATATTCGCCAGCGCATAGCGATCGCAGGCGCGCGCTACCAGCGTCGCGGTATCGATGATTAGGGTGCAGAGTTGCTCGATGCTATTGCGGAAAGTGGGCAGGTGCTGGGCATTGGGCCAGATATTCGGGGCCGTGTGCTGGGGGAAATCTGGAAATCCGTCCTCGGGCGCATTTTGCAGGGATGGATCCTGGTAGAATGCGCAGTTTATGTAGTAGGAGCCCTTGAGGGTGTCGAAGCGGCCGGAGCGGAGGGTTTCTTTGCCACAGGACCAGCCGACGAGGTATTTGGATGCGGGGCTGGAGAGGGTGTCTGGGAGGAGTGATTGGGGTTATTTCAAGCGATTAATTATTTTTCCTTGTTTCTTTTGTTTTCTTTGTGAAGTAGATAACTAGTTTACATACCGAGCTCATCCTGTGGGAGCGCAGCTACGTATGAGGCATTTGATAGGGCTGTGGCGCGTAGCTCTTTGAAGCGGGCGGGGAGATCTTTGACGATGATGATGCCGAGTGACGACGGGCCAAAGGCTTCAGTTAATGTCTCGAAAGAAACGGAACCTTATATATATGTTATACATGGAGTCAGCGTCTGCTTTTATTTGGCTTTTTAAGGAGGAATATAGTTGATTACATACCCTCTTCAAGCTCTTTTAGGCTAACTGTAACTGCCTGTCCCTGGATGGGCGCAGAGGAGTCCATATGTGTCTTGACGGACTTCATCAAGTTAGGATTTACTATTGATGCGGGGGAGAGAGAACTGAGTGTGGTCTATATACTCCATATACAGAGCATCATCGGTTGACTCCCGACAACCTGTTTAATACCCTGGTGATGGGAATGGGGATTGCGGGAGGGAAGCCATTATAAGAAGAGTATTAGTTATAACTAAACTTAATCGCGGGGGAAGTTCGGGGGTTGTTAGTTAACTATTCTACTGGAAGAATTGAGCTCAACGTCAACAACACCTGGAAAGTAGTAATAATAATATACAGAGAAGTTTCTTGAGTGCAAATATGGACGGACATACAGGTAATAATAATATGTACTATTCCATTTACGCAAAGGCAGAAGAGTACTCCGAGTGCTTCACTCTCTCTGCCAATAACTAACTAACCTATATATATATATATATATATATAGTGACAAATGATGTTTTTCAGTGTAAAAGCTTAATTCCACAAAATACTCATTATATAGACACGCAAGTATATTACTGTATATGGTTTAGTCAGTCCTGGCTTTCATCACTCATATATTACTTGTACAGTACAGTACAGTACAGTACAATGCAATACAGTACAATACAGTACAGAGAGAGAGAGAGAGACAACTTCTGTATAAAGATTAACAGAGAGAGTACTTACTATGTAGATAGAGACTTGTCTGAATATATACTCTATAGGAGGAAACAATAACACAATTAGTGTAATTTTCTGTCATCTCAATTTATAACTGTTTATTGATGGGAAGCCTCTATCATTGATCATATCAAGACAGTAAGACACAACATCAATAATGAGGAGACCTTGATTGCTAGTTACTACAATCACAGTATCATTGATGTTGTACTCATTGAAACAGAACACTAGTTAGAAAATTACTCAAATGTCATCAGAGGCTGCCTGCCCCACAGTTGCTCTGTCAACTGCGGAAGTTAAACAGTTTTAAAAATCATCATCACGTCAACACCACAATTTCATTTGATTGAATGCAACCTGCAATCCCCCGCTCTTTTCATCAGATTAGTCGGCGCATACATTGAGTTGTAATGAGGAGAGCATTCTCTCAGGCACTTAATACAGTTTAGCCTTCTCCTCACTGTTTCTCATTCACCCGTTTTCAGCCAATCCTCCACTTTTCAATCAACATTTGAATCGAAATTGCACATTTCCTTCGCACGAAGTTATTTCTCTACAAGGCAAAGTTCAAGTCCTCTGATGGTCTGATTTAAAAGATCTAAACTCGCTTTCCTTCCTCTCTTCAATCCAAACAATTTTACAATGGAGCCTGGCAATGTGAAACCAGAGCCCAATCAAACACAAGGGATCATCTCTATCCCCAACCGCCCATTCGCTGAGAAAGTCGCGGCGGCTCTCAAGGAGCTGAGACAGAAGCAATCCGCCAGCACACCTCCTGCTGCGATCTTGACACCGACATCTGTAACACCCGCTTCAGGAACAACTGCAACTCCTGCCACCGGCGCCATGGATGCAGCCGATAGCAGCGACTTGCAGATCGAGGAAACTGAGTCTGCCTCTGCCCTCGAGGAGACCACTACGCGTGTGGATCGCCCAATTACCCTACAGCAACCTGAAGAAAGGTTAGCTGCAAAGAGAAAGAGACCTGCCCTTGACCCTCTCAAGTGTACGTGCGCTGTCTCCGAAAAATGCTTAAGAGCTGCGAGGGATGGCGTGGTAGACTGTCGAATTGGCTCTGGCGCCCCAATCCCCAAGCGCAAACAGACGCGCGTAGGCCCCAGGCCTGGTCGCGAAAATGAGCCGTGAGTATATAGCTTTTCTCTATCTCATCTCTATATTGTGTTTTTATTGTAATACCTTTTATTGTTATTATTATTATTTTTTGCTACGCGTCATTTGCGAATATATCACGTCGAGGGAAAACAAACATAGCTAATTCCCCCAATTCCAGCTTCCGCTACATCTCACCAAAGGAAAGAGGTCGCCTCCAAAGATCAGCTGACGATGTCCTCTCATTACTCACGCTCTTCAAACGAGCATCCACCGCCCCGGAGGGCGAACGCCCCGCCATCTTCAACGGAATGCGGGGACGCATCCAACAACTGCAATTCTACGATGTCAGCGCAGCTCTCCCTTCCCTCCTTCAAAAATTCATGGATTACAACACCGGCCTTCCAGCCATCGTTAACAGCCCCGACGACGCCGTCCCCTGGGACATCAAGTTAGATTGCGAAGCGATCCTCTTCCGCTGGCAACGTGGGGACTTCGACCCGAATTTACTCCGTGGCATCATGACTGCTGAACGCAACAGATCCGCCCGCAAACTCGACCCCACCTACAAATTCAAACGAGACAGCATCGTTGTCGGCGACAACCACCTGCGCAACGGCCAATGGTTCCCGCTGCAAATCACCACAATCCGCGACGGCGCCCACGGCGAAATGGAAGCAGGCATCTCCGGCCGCAACAAGGTCGGCGCCGTCTCCATCATCCTTAGCTCGGCGGGGAAAGGGTACCCAGACGTCGACCAGGGGGATACCATCGCCTACTGTGGCACGCACGGCAAGGATGGCCAGATATCCGCGGGCACGAACCTGCTGATCGAATCACATGCGAACCGGACGCCCATCCGCGTCCTGCGCAGCTCGAAGCTGCCCAAGATTAACCCTTATCGTCCCGTTGCCGGGTTCCGGTACGACGGGCTCTATGAGATTCATGGCGTGGACGTGCTGGATTCGCAGACGATGTTGCACCGGTTTAAATTGCGGAGGATCGCGGGGCAGACGCCTATTCGATACCAGGGGGAGGAGAGGCGGCCGACGGTGAGGGAGGTGGAAGAGTGGAGGATTCTCCAGAATCTTGATGCGAGTTCGAAGCTGAAGTAGTTGAGTCGGGCTTGGTGGGGGTACGCGAAGCCTATTACCGATGGGGAATTTTTTTAGATTCCTGCGGCGTTTAACTCAAGGGATTGATTGGCGTGCATCGTGACACGATCGACGCGTGTTTTCGTTTACGGAGGCCGGATAGGTTTTAACTGTGTTTGGTTCAAACCCCCTTCCTTTCTTGTTATTATTTCCCACGGTCTTTACACACTTTTAATCCCTCCTTCCTCTTTGTCTATTAATTTTCACGAGGATTTATTTCTCTTGCACAAACGTTTTATGAGGACCATGATGTATCTTGTTCCTACCCCTATCAGTTTTCGATATACTTTAGACCTAGGTCTCTTCGAGTAACGATATGATAATGAACTTTTGATGAATTTTTACCACTTCCGTAATTTTCTTATTATCTGTATAGCTACTACGATAGTTGACTACTACTTAACAGCTGACAAATGCTCGGGAACGAAGGTTGGTTGGTCCTGACGAAATCGCGGTGAAGACGATATCAAATCGATCTATTTAATCATCTGAAATACAATAACGCGAGTAGGCAAGCCATTTTTTTGATCCAAAAAAGTTTAAAAAAGGAAAGAGCCAAATAAAGAGCTGTTAAGACGAATAAAAACAAACGATGTAAATGACATTCACTGCTCCAGCCAGCACAAACTTGCCCTGTCCTTTGACAGGCAGACAAGACAGCCCTATCCCTAGCCCAGCCAGCCCTTCCCAACTCCACTGCGCCGTTATGAATAATGACAGTTTGAGGATACTCGTCAAAGCCAGTTTGGAAAAAAAAAAAAAAAAAAAAATAGGAAAGAAAGAAAGAAACTCCGCAAATGCCCCAGGGAGATTGTATATAAGTAAATAAATAAAAGTTGAAGTTAAAAATCAAGTAGCAAACCTAAGACGTCGTGTTAGTGTTTTCCCTTTTCCTCTGAGCTACAAGAACACTTTCTGGGCGTCTTTTGGATGGCTTTCGTTCGGGCAGTACGGGCATTTAAATCGAGAGCCCTTGCTAAGTCTCATGAGAGATTCCTGCGCAATGACGTGACCACAAGGCATCATCATGGGTGGGTTTTCATCGGTGGTTTGTTCTTTCGAAACCGGGCAGACGAAGATAGAATGGAATTGGTATGACGGTGGGAGGGGGATTTCAACCTGCATTTTGTTAGCGACGACCGTTAGAGATGGAGCAAGGAAGTTTTGCAAATTTAAGACGGGAAAAGAATCAGGGGAGCAGGGAGTGTTTTCTCACCGGAAGTTCGTTCTGGGATGTCCATTCCGTCCGCTTCTCTTTCATAATGGTTTGTAGCTTGAGTAGCGTGGGGAGTGCAATTGCGCCAGCTGTAGCTGCTATATATAGAGGGGATTCTGCTGCTAGACCCAGCAAAGAGCAGTATTCACGGGTGAAGGAGTGTGCTACATCGTTCCAGGAGGAAGGGTTGTTAAAAATGTTTTTGTAGGGGGAGTCTGCGAGATTAGGACAAAATGCCATAGCCCCCATTAATTGTTGGATTTCTGGCAGATGCCTTCTCTGGAAAGTCGAAAACTCGTTCCTGGCATATTCCAATGCCAGCTGCCGGCCAACCGCCATCGGCGTTTGCGGATTTTTGCCTCCGTGGAATAGCCACACGAACTGCAACCTGCACAGCTCAAACTCTAGATTGCTCCCCCTTGCTTCCAATAGGTGTCGATGTTCCGAGGCCCATTGTATGGCCGGTATTAAGTTTCGTTGCTCTTTCAACTCATGTAGGATTTGATACATGAGAACAAACTGTTTCCTGATATCACCTGATTGCATTTGCTCCATTTCCATGGCAATGCTGGCGGTGTCAGAATCGGATTGATCCGAAGTGGGTTGTGCGGGAGTTGGATTTTTGGCCACTTCCGATAAAAATGTAGAGGCAACGGAAAACTGGCCCTCTCGAAGTAGGTGCATGGCAATAGCTCTGTTCACCAGCGCTGGCTGCGCTGATAAAGCGTCATAAGGCAGAGGCTTGTCCTTAAAGAGCTGCAAAGAAAAATATAAAGTTAATATCATGTAGACCATTTCCATACGCATAGATTTACCACACATAACATCCACGCATGCTGGGATCTTACTTTGTCCAGGGCTTTGGTATATTTGTTCAGGCCACTATGGGCGTCCTTGAGACTGTCGTTGGTCGCATCGAAGGAAGCCTTCACAGGGTTTTGTAGCTTTGCCAAAGTTATGGATGCTGAACTGGGATCTAAGCAGACAATATGAGTTACTAAGAATCCTTCCAAAAAGCCAAATATCCGACCCGCAAGCCTTGGATATTGCTCTGTGTGCCGGAGTTAAAGGTTATTTATGTTCCGGGAGGGGATAGCGGCTCACTTTCGGCAATGTTGTTTCTTGCCTCCTGGAGGAGGTCAATTGTGGCCTGCACATCTTTGATGCTCTTCCCAGTGTGAGCGCGCTTCCAGAGCCGTTGATGTTCCTTCTGCAGTAAATCCATTTTGCCGGTGGCGGAGTGGGTGACCCAACGAATGTCGCCTTTGGTCAGAGAGCTCTACCGGCGTTGGGGTATGGCGGACATGTCGCGACGCTACAGCTTCAGCTTCAAGGCCAGACAATGGAAGAATCCCCGCAAGGAGAAGACGGTGTAATTTTGTTTGTTTGTTTTTTTATTTTTTTATTTTATTTTTCTGCTATATTTCCCCTTCAGCTGCTTTGGTGTGGTCGTGTCGGAGTGGTCATGGGCAGTTGAAGAAGCAGGTGAGCAAGCGGTGGTTATTGATGGTGGTTTGATGGGTTGATGTGATGGTGATGGGTGATGGTGATGGGTGATTGGGTGGTTGCTCCCAACTCCGCATGAGCATGTAACATACGGTACATTACGGAGTACATACGGGTACATCCCGATTCAGCTAGGGTACCGCCGGTAATACAGGCCACCATCCCATGATTGTGGCGCAAGCCATATACGTATTGTACTTGTATTAAAGACTTTCTCTGGAGGTTTGCACTGCTAAAAGGACAGTATCGTGTCGTATTAGGTACTGTAACACCGGTCGGAGGTACTACCTAGTCCTCCCGGTCTTGTGACATCCTCAGCCACTTGTGACGTCGCTGCTTCTATCCATCCTCCACGACACTGTTGGTACGGAATTTCGTTCTCGCAGTCGATCTACAACTTTTGAGGATGCACACATTAAACCACAGACTGTCCTATCCTCCAAACCGATGATGGCCTTTTTCACTGACAGTGCTTATTTGCTCACTCCTGGCCCTCCAGAGCCATAACAAATAACTGCAGAGGTACACCGCCGCTTGTCCGATTCCACAAGCACTTAATCCAAAACCTCCTTCCATATACCGATTCGAAAAACAAGGAGCCTACAGGGGATAGAGATAGTCCATATCCTGTTCTCGAGCTGCCATGGCCTTTCCCAACGACACTGGCACTTTCTCGCCTCACCCCGCTAGTCCTCGAAACGGTGACAGGACTGCCGGTAGAGGTTATTCAACACCTCCTCATATCGAAGCGGTCGAAGGTTCTTCTCCCAAGCAGGGCCATCAAAGATTCGTATTTACAGACCCTGTTGCCTTTCGATACCTGGAAGAGGACCCGTCGACAATAGTGCTGGACCGGCGACGTACATTGAAAGGCTATGAAATATACATTGTTGAGCAGTGGGCATGCTCAAGGGTCCATCCTACCTTTGTCATCAACACATATACTGGCGATCCTTCAAACACTGCAATGGTGGCTGTGCTAAGTGTCCCAACGGATGAAAATGCCTGGTCCCCCAGATTAAAGGTTTACTTCGATGCTATTGCCCAATTTCATGCTAGAAAACGAGAAACCCCTCTTGGAATTTTGATGGTTACGAATCTGAGTAGTTTTCCTTCTGCGTTGACTGTGATTCCCGTGCCTAATGGCGATGTGAAGAGACATAGGGAGGATTTCATTGTTAACGAGGATCTGAAACGCCTTGGCTGCTCGGGGCGAGCTGGTATGAATCTAAAACAACCCACCGCCGCTACGCAAGCCAAATTTCACCAACTATACAGAACGAGCGAGCGGGTACCACTCTATTCGGCGGTAATGGAGCTGGTAAAGCAATGCCAGACGGCGCTGATGATTTTCGATAAGCTGGTCCCTGAGTATGTTGATGGATTGCTCTGTGACGTAACAGAGAAAGCCATAAACGACTGGTGGACCGATATTGGAACCGACTTTTTCAACATCGAGCCCAGCGATGGGATTCTAGGCCCAACGACAGTTTCCGCACTGCTTGGTACGTTGATGGGAGCGAGGAACCGCCTTAATGCGAACGGTGCCCCAGTCCCCAAGGATGTTTTTGACGTGGCAACTCTAAAGCGAGGAATAGAGAGCTTTCAGAAGTCCCAGAAACTGGATAGGACTCGCAGACTCGATCGACAGACATTGGATCGACTACATCGGGTAACTGCAAAAGCCGCTAGTGGTGATGGCTGGAATGTACCACGCGCAGTAAAATCCACTGTTGCAGAACTAGGAGGCAAAGGCGGAGAAATGGTCATGGGAATTGTTGGCGGACGTGCCAAAGCTGGAATCGCGGAAATTGAAACCATAGATATGGACCGATTTGTTCAGTTAGTCGGAGGCGAACGGCCTAAATGGCTCTGGCATGGGAAGCCACGCAAAACCGGAAGTGATATCTTCCGCCATGCTGCTGGAGACAACTCAATGGTTTTTACGTGTGACGACCGTGGTGGATATAAATGGACTAGTAGGAAGAGGGACGCTGCGTCTGATCATAACTCTGGCCGCCATAGTCTTGAAACCGACTATTCTGGAAAAATGCTTGATTCCCCAGCTACTCTTTTGGATGACAGGGAACAGCAGCTAAAAGGTGCCCTAAAACGATCCGTCACTGGCAAGGTATCCGATGCCCGTGCAGGGTTTGGTCGTTTCAAGGACGCTGTTGGACTACCTAGTCTCCGGTCTCATCATCACAAGCGGTCTAGAGATGGCGTGGATTTTGAAAATGAGCTAGGCTCTCATTCAAACATGGGCTATTTTGGACCGCCGTCTACGCAAACTCAGGACGAGAATTTTCCAGATGCCGAACAATTGCCATCGACATATCCGGAAAATCGAGACGATACCACCCAAGCTTTGTATGAACTGCCACCGAATGAACCACTGTCCACTTCCAATGTTATCTCCGTTAAAGCCCATGAGGGTCCTATCCCTGACGATAAGCATTCAACAACTAATGAATCACAACTCAGCGAGGAAGCTGTGCTATCTGCTGGGGAAGGCAAAATTGCGCTCGAAAGTGCTGAACCAAAACTAGTAGAGCTAGGGGGAGCTACACTACCCGCTAGCATACCCCTTCGACGGCCACGAAGCCATTGTGTACTTCCCTCTGAACCGTCAAACAATCAAGGCGATTCCCGTTGGCCACGGCACCTATCCTTTAGCGCCGTAGAAGATACGATTCTTACATGGAAAAATATCCCAGATTGGGACCCAATTCTCGATACGAAAGACACGACCCCCGCGGACGCCATGTTGCGGGAGGATATCCTCGCGTCCGACGCGCAGTATTACGGCGGTAAGATTCACGCCTTGCACGCTACGATCGCGCCTTGGGTTGAGAACCAAGTCTCCGCCGTTGAATTCATAAACGTCCGTGCCCAGGCCTGGTTAGACGAGCTCAACTCTGTCTACCATGAGAAGATTGAAGATTTTCGCGGGTTGCAGACACGCACCGCTGATCTGCTTGCGGTCGAAGGTTCGGGTCTCATGGAGGGCTCCAAGAAAGTCGAACTGCTAGGTGCAAAGCTTGATTATGAGCTCAATGCGCTACAGTCGAGGGTCGAAGAGGTGGATGCCGGATTGAGTGATTACGAGCGGCATATCGTTGGTATCGAAAATAGGGTTAGGGATCTGGTTAAGGATGATACGCAGAAGGCGAGGGAATCGTGGTTTAGCTGGGGCAGTGGGCTCCTTGGACGGTGAAATGGGTGTTTGATAATAATGGATCAAGCCGGCCTCTTTTCTTTAACTTCCCCTCTTTAGCTCTGGGAGGTACATATTGGAATGTTTCTATTTACCCCTTTACTTTTTGATACAGGGGTTCGCAGTGCTGCATATGCAGATTACTTAGAGCTGGTTTATACCCTGTTTGATTGTACTGTACATATAGTTACTACTCGCATAGCAAGGCGTTTCATAGCAGCAGACAAGCATAGCAAATCAAAGAAGTATTTCATTGATCACTTAAATCGAATGGCATCTATCTGCTCTACCATACCAAGATAGCAAGGGGGTGTGAAAACATAAATCTTACTATAATAATACAAAAGGAATACGACAGCGTACAAGCATATGACCGATAAAAGTACAAAAAAAGAATCTGCTAGCCCCATAGATGCACAAACATGAATCCGTAGATAGGGTATAAAACAAGTGATGTCAAAAGGCGTTTTCCGCCTCCACAGTCAAGTTTCAACAGCCCCTCTCACCGCCATGCCTGATTATGGAATATAAAGGAAGACACGCCCATAAGGAACAATACGGTCTCTCGCCCACGCTGTTCTCGTAACATCTCATTTAGCCAGCTCCGCAAACCAAGCAAATACCGTATCCCTCAACGATGAAACCCGCATTTATATTCCAACGCACGAGAGAATGGCGCCCCGGGAATCAATCAAGCTCCAGAATAGATGGGTAAACGTAGCGAAAGAAAAGGCTGTAAAAGATGTAAAAGAAACCCCCGCATCCGTGTATCCATTATCGTCATCTCTATCCCATCATCCGGTGGCCGACGGCCCCGTATCTCGGTATCTCCCTCTCCCTTTGTGGAATTAAAAAAAAAAGGTATTGTCCTCTTTGTTTACATCCCAAACCCAGAGCCACCCTGCTGCCCCATAGCCTGCCCTTGCATCTGCTGCATTTTCTCCGAAACCTTCATGTTGACTTCGAAGAACTTGGCCACACAGCGGTCGAGGCAAACGGATTCGCCTTTGTTCAGGTCTCCTTCGCGGTAGTCGGGTGGGATGCACTTTTTCATGCAGGCGCTTGAGAGGCTGGGGCCATTGGAAAATGGGGAAAGGGATATGTTAGAAAAATGAGGCCTCTATTTTTGTGTGACTTATTGGTGGTTTTTCTAACTTGGGTTCCTTTTTTTTCCTTAAGGGGGGAGGCAAATTTTCGTCCATAGCTTCCGGGTAGTGTAACCGTAAACTCACCGGGTCATCATATCTGTGACCATCTCAACCTCCATCTCAGCCCTGCTGATTTTCTCCTCTGAGGATAATTTTGGTTGGCCTCCGAATAGGAACGACATTTTGGTGGTTTTCGGGCGGGTTTACGGGATAAAGGTTCGGGTTAAAGGATTAGCAGTTATCCGGCGAGTGCGGGTTAATATGATATATATGAGGAATCTGGTATTGGAGTTGATGCTTGCAATTCGAAAGGACTTTGTATATGTAGACTGGGATATGAGTTTCGTTGTTTGCGGGCCGCGGTATGGGGCACTTTCGCCGATTTAGAGTTTGATTTATATCACGTGGTATAAGTCGCCGCAGGTCAAAGGCCTTAAAAGATCACTGACAGATCGATACAAAGTGAGATAAAATCAAAACGAAGCTTTTAGGATTTCAGTACTATCCCATATCTATCTTCAACAATGGATGTATATATAGAAATATCTTTATCGGTTTGCGCAAAGTTGAGCTGAATTAGCCTAGGAATCTGGCCGGCCGTCAGAATAAACTCAGTCTGTTCTAACCACATCTGGAACGCTTAAATATTTAACCACAGCTAAATCCGGCGGCATTATTTCCCTCCTCCCCAACCACGACCGAAAGCTCTCGTTCAACTCGATTCCTCCAGCCACTGGACGTCACCCACAGTGAGTGCTATCGTCCGCTGAGCAGATGCGGACTTCTTGCTCTCGATGGGTAAGCCAAGTGAGTCTGGATAGGCCATTTGCAAGGTACGTATATCTCTTGTCAGCTTTCCACTCGTTTTCCATTCCTGGCAAATGCGTAAGGACGAGATACTACATTTACCGAACCGCTGCGGATTATGCTTTAGAAAGCGAGGGGTTTTTTTTTTTCTGCCCTCGCCCCTTTAAAGGCAGAGGAATCAAAACAATGTACCATTAATCTGAAAATGTGCTATGCAAATTGCTTTGCGTTAATCTACTTTTTAAATGTATCCCGGAAACGCTTCGGAGATCCGCTAATGAAATCCAACTCTATAAAACTTTCTAGTTTCGCCCGCTCACACATTTCGTCCCTGAATGGAACAGCGATACAGCAAACCTTCCGACCGGTCCGTTGGTCGTCAACAAATACACCGACTGTCGCAGAGGCAGCCAGCGTGAACGATAAAAAGGGCTGGAAAAACAGGATCGCAGAGATCACAAATATTTACCGAGAACCATACCCACGACTGTCCGTCGATAAGCGGTCAATCAGCTGTGACGAGTTCCACTCCAAATATAAAGACATAAAACCGAACGAAACTGCAGAGCAGGACTTAGTGGTTATCTATGGTATGTAGCCTAGATTTTGGGAAATATCTCTCCTAAAAGAAATAGAGGAGGGAGAAAAGAATACCAAAAGGGTTCGGCCTGCGCTCATAACTTAAGCGATTAGGTAGAATACAATCTACACGTATTGCGGGGAGCAAGTTGATATTTCTTGACCTTGTGCAGAATGGACGGAAAGTGCAGATTCTGTGCAACCAGAGACATCTGGATGGCACTGGCGTGACGCCAGAGAAATTTAAGCAGTTCTATCATCTGCTGCGGCGTGGGGATGTTTTCTGTAGGTTACCATTATCCCCCCGAGTCGTATTATATTTCTTATCGTATCACCGAGCAAAGCGATCTGTGTAACGCAAATTAACATTTTATAACTGGTCCGGAAAATTAGCTGCCATCGGAAAACCCCATAGAACAGGCCGCGGGGAGCTCTCCGTGACCGCATCCGAGCTTCCCAAGCTCATCACGCCATGCCTACACGATATCCCGCTCCGTATCAAAGAGCAAGAATCTTCGCCGTATCACCGGCACGTCCAACTACTCTCCTCCCCCACCGCGGCCGATATCCTTCGAGCTCGGTCATCCATCATTCAGTACATACGCACCTTTTTCCTAGACAAGTCGTTCATGGAAGTGGAGACGCCAATATTGGCATCTGTTGCCGGCGGCGCGGTTGCTAGGCCGTTCGAGACATCCGCAACTGAATTTCCTGACCGACCTCTGTCGCTGAGGATTGCTCCAGAGCTATGGCTCAAGCGCCTTGTTGTTGGCGGGTTCGATAAGGTGTTTGAGATTGGCCAATCATTTCGCAATGAAGGTAAAAACTCTCTTCCCCCTTACCCTGGATTTTTTCTACCTTGTAATTCCAGGGAGAAACAAGAAAACAATCATCTAAAACTGGGTGTTAAATCCACAGGTCTCGATAAAACTCACAACCCTGAATTCACAACCTGTGAATTTTACCACGCATTCGCCGACCTAGAAACGTTAATATCACTGACCGAGTCCATTTTCACGGGTCTCTCGCAACACGTTCACAATCTAAACCAAACACTACCAACCCTATCGCCAACCACAGCCAGTTTCGCAGCGCCCTTCAGCCGCCTAGACTTCATCCCAGATCTCGAGGCAGCAATGGGCCACAAGCTCCCAGACTTTGCCTCCACGCCTACTGAAGAAGCAGCAAAAATAATCCTCGACCTCTTCGAACAGCTGCACCACCCACCGCCGACAAACGCAACCCTCCCCCGCCTCCTCGACCGCCTAAGCTCCATCTACCTCGAACCGCAATGCAAAAACCCAACCTTCATTATCAACCACCCGGAATGTCTCTCGCCGCTCTCGAAATCGTTCATCCACCCGGCCAACGGGCAAGTGGTGACTGCGCGAGCGGAGCTCTTCGTTGACAAGCGGGAGATGGTGAATATGTACGAGGAGGAGAACTCACCGTTTGAGCAGAGGCGCAAGTTTGAGATCCAGCTTGGGTTCCAGGGGCAGGCGGTGGAGGAGGAGGGGGAGGGGAAGATGGATGAGAGTTACGTGCAGGCGCTGCAGTGGGGGTTACCGCCGACGGGCGGGTGGGGGTGTGGGGTTGATAGACTGGTGATGTTGTTTACGGGGGCAGGGCGGATTGGGGATGTGTTGAGTTTTGGGAATTTGAGGAGTGTGACGCGGTCTGAGTAAGGGGAGAAATTTCGCCTCGCTCTTTGGGAGATTATATCAGGATGAGATATGTATTTGTATGGGTGTTTTTCACTTTTTGTTCTCCCTTTAATGATAGATGGATTAAATGTATGATAGAAACTCAGATGAGAGAGGGTGATTGGATAGATGTACCATTTTAGATCGACGTTGACGTGCCATCACCATCATATTAACCTCGATGCTCATCGACAGGATACTAACGAAGGCAGCAATCAGGCAACCAGGCAGCGAAGACAGGTGCATCAGGTAACTTGTTATAGAAATATCCCAGCTTTTCCCCCTTCAATGTCAAATTACCATAATCATAATCCCGGACCAGGTCCGGTGCTATGTTTATCCGGCCGATCAACCCCTGTTTCTTGGCTCGGTGATGATTGTCTGGCAGCAACAACTCGTCAGTCCTCACGGATGACAATAACATGAACTCGACATCGTAATGACACTTCCATTCGGCCCCTGGACACTTACAAAAAGTGATCTTTACGGCGCTGGCGTCGGGGTAACCTCCCAGACATCCCGAATTCAACATACCGGGGATATTTAACCGGTCTGGCTTCCCTTCTAGAGCCACACTTCCCGGCGATGCCGTCGTATCGCAAGCATTATGCATCACTACTTGCTATCGCCGTCGGCTTTCTAGCCTTGTTCTTATGGGGCCCCCAACGTTTACGCAATGTGGGTTGGCTGAGCTTCCACGCGGTTTTTTTTTTTTTTTTTTTTTTTTTTTGGGTGGACGTGAAACCTAGAAATGCAGCGGTGATGTCTCCAATCAAGTCAATTCTCGAAATGACTCTTGATCCTTGGAATTGAAAAGGACTTTGTCCGTCTCCACCCGTTGCCTACACTCTTATCATGTCCGCCGAGAAAAAACACTCTGTGTCATCCGAAGATTATGATCCTGTTATTTTCGAGGCAATCAAAGTCAACGCAAACGAACGAAAGGAGCTCTCCACTTCGAGAAAAGCTGCCCAGCAAGCTCGGTTTGCGAGAGGGGCAGAGGAATTGGATAATGCGGTAAAAAGAGCTGTCGATAAAGATGTTATTGTGGCGGCGGGGAGAATAGGCGAGACTAGTGGAAATAATCCAAAATAATCGAAGAGGAATATGGGAGAAGAGGTATCGCGGCTCATATCAACGCTGATTTTGCACGCTCAAACCTGTCTAGGTCGTTTTTGAGCCCTTCGTTGACCTCCTTGTCCTCCACCCCGAATAGCTGTTGAAGTCGCTCGTTATACTCCATCTTATCTTTGACTTAGCCTTTAGAAATCCCGCTGCGTCGTGCGTCCAATGTTGATATGTTGTTAGAAGAAATGGAACTCTGTCCATGTCCACCATTGTAAATTGGGGTTGGATCCGTGCATAGAAGAAGACTTTGCTGAGGCCGGACGGGGACTGCAGTGCTAAAATGTACCAGAAAGAACCAGTGTCCCAGGACCTCTTCATGACGGAGGAACACTGCATGGAGTGGGATGGGTGAATCTTGTGCTCCTGCTCTTTAAACACCTCCACAAACTCCTTATGACGCTTGCTGTACTTATCAGGGCTTATTTCATCCCCAGTCTCGCCAGTTAGCCAGTAAGGCAGCTGCATGAATTCCAATGGTTGCGCAAATGGCCCACTCAAGATCAATCAGATACTTGATATTCCAGTCGTCATCAATAAGAATGTTGCTTGCGTGTAAATCAGTCAAGCTAAGATAAAATGGTCCATGGTTCAGACCAGGCTCGAGAAACCGGGCTGATAGAGCGCGCATCATGGATAATGCTGACATTTGAGTGACACAATCTGCAACACAAGCGAGTGAATTTGGCTGGTAGCGTAAGTAACTATCGTGGACGGATAAGATACCGTTAACATCAGAGTCAACTGTAGGGTACACACGATCTCGGGGGATATCAAGAGGTGTCTCCTCGTTTTCCACAATTGTCGACTTAGCAGCAGCGAGAGGCCTGTTTTCTAGTCGTAGAAAACCATCATTATCAATCGTGAAGGATCCAATTTTCGGCAAGGGCCTGTGGCTGAGGGTGAGGATGATTTTTGCAAGGTTTCGGAACAAATTCATCCGTAGTGTCTGATCATCATCGTGCTTGTCACGCCAGTCATCTGAAAGCATCCTTCCATCTGCTTCCTCGATGAAATCTAATAGCAAATACGGGCCAAGTTTGTTAGAGATAGTGGTTGGATGTTGAACGAGTCGAGATGGAAGGGGAAGTCGGAGCAGCTTTCGGATTGTGCATTTTAGGAAATACCATAGCCGTGTGAGAAACGGTAGATGCTCTCTCTCGGTAAACTAGAGAGTGTCTTAACAACATTAAATGACAACAGTGAGGGAGAAAAGAACAAAGATTCTCACAAGCTGGCCGGTTGAAAGACCAAATCCGTATAAATGTGGTATTGGGACTGAAGGACACTCCTGGCTGATCCAAGCATAGGTTGCAGCCTCACAACGCACCTTCTCATCCGCGTTGCCAGGAAGAAAAGTTCTCGCCAACGCGATAGGGAAGAGGAAAACGCATGATTACGCGTCGTAAAAGTATTGACGTTGACAGGGACGCAGAGGTTGAAGCTACCACTCATCCATTTCTTTGGTTCTTCCACTTCCACTTGACAAGCTGAAGGGTAGATGCTGAGGTGATGAGCAACGAGCTTGGAAATCGCATCACGATTCCGGTATATGCGCGTGTAGAACTTCCGCCTGCTCGGTCGCGTAAGACAGCTCACGTATAACATTGCCATCGCTTCCTTTGGCCTGGGAGTAGGTGATCTCCCCCCGGAGGGTACGCCTGGTAAAAATAAAGCTGCATTCTGCCACTCTCACTAGATAGTTGAATTGCTAAATATTCTATATCAGAAGATAATTGTACAGTGGAAAAGAGAACGGTGTTTGATGTTCTTAGATAGATCGATGTGAAATGCAGCTCATACAGTGACTGTTGACTGGGTGATCCCAGGTGAAGTTGTATCTGCTTGGTTGGGCGGTTGTTCCACTTCCACCTTGAACTGTCGTGCGCGTTCCTAGTGCTAGTATGGTGTCCATGAGATGAGACATTGCGTTATCCAGAAGCGATTTTTTGGTGTGAGGATCTGGGTCCCTCCAGCGTTCCCTTCTACTGGGATCCTGGGAATTTCTGCGAGTGGGATATTATTGATCAATGCTCCAAATCATCGTGCCTCCAAAGCAATGTTCGCTGGTCCATTCATTGCCTCTTCATTTTTATCGTCTCTGAATCATCGTAGCCAATCCACTGGTTGTCAAAGGTAAATTTATTTCATCATATCTTTCTTTTAGCAACTGAGGCTGGAGTAGCCTTTCTGAGATCACTTGCTCGATCTCCTTCAACGTTAAATAATACGCCTTTGGGCTGACGTAGCGATTAGCAACAGCAAGCAGAACACAACAGAGACATAAAGAGGAACTCTTACTATTCCCAGTCAATATCAACAGCCTTGAAGCCATGTTTAGCCAGGCTTAGTCATGCATTCTTTGAGTAATGTGTAGGCTACTGGGGCAAAAGAGCTCAATCACTGGTAGAAGGGCCGATCAACCGCGGGACCCCCAACATAATGTAATGAATTTCTTGCGGTTTTCCGGGCATGGTGCAAGCTTGCTCCACGTTTTTTCTGTTGGGCGGGGATCGCTGAAGGGCCGGCCCCGTACTGCTATCCAAGTCTCTGGAGTTTTTGACGATTTTGTATTACTATCTATGATATGGGTTACACGCGCCTGGTAGAGTGCTCCCGAGTTCCCGCCTCAGCGTAAAGTCAGTTGCTAACTCAGATTCGCGGCCCAATTCAACCGCCGGCTCTGGATTGTGTACGGAGCACAGAGTATATAGTACATGTACATCCATCGGCCACGCGAGAATTTGTCCATCCCGACGGGCGTACTAGATATTTGTATTATTGGTGCATTTCCAGTATTTGGTATTTGTCAACATAGATCTATGTACAGAGAGGATATACTTGTGAGCTGTGAGTCAATCAATATTCAAGGAACAGTGTTCTTTACCTGGGGTCTGGGGTGCTGAGTGGCAGCTGAGATACATAGCTAACCAGACATCTCCATATGCTTCTCTGGAAAAGGTTCCTGTCATCATCCTCGTCATGGATGTAGTAGGCTTTGTTGTTTCTTGTGGCCTTCCCCGGCGCTGAGGCTCCTTCCGGGCCTGCGTGTGGGATCGTAATTTAATAATGCTTTCACACAGCCGTGCAAACAGGTCTTCCTCTACTACTGTGTATGAGGTTCCACGATTGGATTGGCCACCTGTCAAACCTCTACGCAGGCCATAGGGCCAGCATGGCTGCATGCATGGCTGGCAATGATGACATGGATGATGATTATTAAAGCAGCCTGCCTCTTCGCGCTAGGTTAAATCCTTGAGTATTGGGATATACGCAGATACATGATACGTCACATCCGCCATAGTTTTTGTAGTCGGCAGCAAGCACGAGACAGACTTATCGCTTCCACCAATACGATAATTACCAGCGTGAACGACAAGCATCGCACCGCATCCCCAGCCAGCCGGTACCTGTATATTACGGAGTATGTATCTTTGGTTAGCTTCTGCCGTGTGCGCCGCCAAGACTGCGCTGATGGAGCTGTGTCGTGCTAGATGATTGGCCGCTGCGGGGCTGCTAGCGCAGCACATGACTTCGTGTGAGTCACCTGAACTCGCGTAACCACTTTACGCGTCGCCCAGCTTTGCAAGCCGCGTCTCCCTCTTCTGTTCTTGATAAAGAGATTTCCCCCAATTCCCATTATTATTATTGAGAGAGAGAGAGATTGCACGGAGTAAGAAGGTTACTCTGTATAAGATGTTTTGTAGTTTTAGTTTTTGGAACCAAGGGGGAAAAAAGAGGTGCTGATGCTGCCCTGCCGTGGACAACAGTGCAGGTTTCCTTGTTCCTTGTTTCTTTTTTTCCTTTTTTTTTTTCCCTCTTCCTACTTGCGACTTGTTGCTTCCTTTGCCTTTTCCTTTTCCTTTTCCTTTTCCTTTTCCTTTTTCCTTTTCTCTTTTCTTTTCTTTTCTTTTCTTTTCTTTTCTTTTCTTTTTTTTGCTGTGCTGCTAGCTTAGTGATACTTGGAGCGGAGATGAACTACTGCGGAGTGGACGCTGCCTAGCCCCCTGTTATGAACGGGGTATATAATAATACTGATACCGTTCCTTATATATATATCTGTGCTTAAAAGGTGTGGCTGAGACTGAGAGAGAAGGGGGTTTTTTCTTTTTTCTTTTTTTCTTTTTTCTTTTTTCCTCTCCCTTTCCTCTTGCGGGTGTTCTCAAGCTGTCAAATCTCAAATTCTGTCGACTTCCAGGATAGTTTGTGTTCATTTTACATACCAAGGCTTGCTGTTAGCTATATTTATTCGAATTGCATTCATTGCTTGCCCCCCCGAGCTGATATTTTGGCTTGTCTGGGAAAAGAAAAGAAAAACAGGCCAACTAAATAAACCAACCACCCCCCCTCGAAGAACAGAAACACCCCAGCTGGAATCATGTTTGTTAGACGGTCATCCCAAAGCCATACGGAGAGCTTTTCTTCCAAATATCGAGCGGGTAAATCCTCGTCTCGATCAAAGAGATCCTTCAGAGATCCTGCATCATCATCGTCAACAACCACCAGACGAGCTGAAAGGGCTGCTCGCAAACCAGATAGCCCTCCAGCTGGCACGTAAGTCAACACAAGACAATTTCCCAGCCTCAAGCAAATATGCATCTACATTGAGCTGCACACAAGTATTGACCTAGATATTTCACATGTAGCAGCAACCTTACCTCTGCCATTATAACCCTCTGCGTCGGCCCCGACCAACGTCTCTTTGCTGCTCACGAGGGTGTCCTGTGCATCTCACCCTTCTTCGCCACCTGTTGTCGAGGCCAGTTCCTCGAGTCCCACGGCAAGAGAATCAATCTGCCCGATGAGCAGCCAGAAATCCTCTCGTCCATCCTCGAGTACCTCTACAAGGGCGACTATTACCCACGCTTAATGCACAATAAACGCCGAGATGTCTGGGAGCTGGAGAATGCTGGGAATGGTTCGAGTGAGCAAGCGTCCGAGTCGACTATTATCAACCAGGTGGATGGGGCTGTTATCTTGAAGGATACCGCTGTCTAGTTTGTCTCCCTGCTCTCCGTTGTACTTTTAGCTCATTGTATCCTCCTTCATAATTGAAGTTGAGCTAACCAGTTCCGTTTTCTTTTTCTTTTCCCCAAAAGCTGTGCTGCAGAACGATACGGCTTGGACGACCTGAAACGACTCGCTCTCCGAAAACAGGGGCTTCAGGTCGCGGTGCAATGTAGCACGATTCTCTCTAGTGCTCGATTCGCCTATGCAAACACCCCGGACAACGATTCCAAGCTCCGTGCCCATTATCTTGCCCTGATCATCCGCAGCAGATCGACCTTCAAGCGAAGTGGCACCATGCAGATGGAAATGGAGATTGGAGGGAAACTCTTCTTTGACCTCTTCGTCGCCATGTGCAATCATATGGTTAGTCTTTTTTTTTTTTTTTTTTTTTTTTTTTTTTTTTTTTTTTCCTTTCCTTTTCTTTTCGTTTCACTTCTTCTTACCTGGTTTACTTTCGCTCAAATACTCACCCTTGTTTGAATAGGATGACCTCACCAACGCCTCCAAGTCACCCTTCTCCCGTTAATAATGCCCCTTTACACTACGACTCCCAGCATCACATACGATCCACTCCGGATGGATGCCTCTCACCATTCCCTACCCCCCGCTACAATAACGCAGTCCATCTCACCTCTTATCCCCGTCCATCCCATGCCCACCGTCCCGTCCGAACCAGGATTCTCCCCTCCACATCTCCTATCTCCTATCTTTTAGCCGCCGCGCCCTCGCGATATAAAAAACTTAATACCGCAATCCGACCACACAACACGGCTATCATTCTACTATCCTACGACCCTTGTATAATATATGATTTTGCACCACCCGACTAATTGAGAGAAAAGAAAAGAAAAGATTGCAAAAACTAGCAGCGATGAGGAGGAGGTGGGGAGGGGGGAGGGGGGAGGAGCTAGTATGAAACAAGCCGAATCGACGAACGAAAGCTGTCCTGTCCGTCCATCCCTATGTTGTGTTTTGTTTTTTCGGGGCCATCTATTACTATTTATAAAACCAACAGTGAAATCCCGCCGTCTAACGTCAGTACCAGTCTGAAGCACCGAGGAAAAAACTCCACATCTGGAGGAGTAACAGATGATGGGGAACGGGATAAAGCGAGTGATGGAAAAAGATGGAAAATCTATCCATCCATCTAACCATATTCTTCCCCCATCCTACGTTACATTACTCAAGTAGCTCTACATTTTTTGTGTATTATTATCTCCACCTTTTCCCCCGTATTGTATTTCTCACTTACTATATCCCATCTCATATTCCCCATACATTTTGTTTCTCATCATTCTTGTTTGACTCTTACTGTTTGTTAAACTTTGATTTGTTTCTTTTATATACCAGGTAGCACCGGGCACCCGCCCCGCCGCTGCCCTGTCTCCTAACAGAATGAAACAATGCTTGGTTGAGACACAGCAGGAATGCATGCATACAACAGAAACTGATGGTTGTGCATTGACTATTCATCAGATATTTTTCGCAATTCAGAACTTGCTACTGTTCTGCATTCCCCCTCCCCTTTCTCAAGTGACTCTTTCTACCAAACATTGCCTAAATCACACTCATTTCCTGATTTCTGATCGTATCTTGAAATTCCAGTTAGTTATCCGATTATGCGGAGAGAACTTTTGGGCTTGTTTTATGGCTGCTAGCTCAAGAGTTGATTGATCTCTGTTTTCCGTTTTCCGTTTTTTTTTTCTTCTTTTTTTTGTTTTTCTTTGTTTCCCCCTTCCATTCTGTATCCACATGTACCTCCTGGAGAAAAGGACATGTTTTGTGTCTTCTATCTAAATTGCCATTGGAAGGGGAATGGAAAGAGAGAAGAGAAAGGAGAAAATAATTACAAGAGAGATATGTCAATGACTAATGTGATTCACCACTTAACAACCTGATTCACTTCAAATATTAATATCTTAAAAGTTCTTCTTTATTTGAACTTTTTAAGATGTAATTTATAAATATTAAGATTTATACTATAATAAAGTCTTAAATTATAACAATACAGATAAAATTAATTAAAATATAGAATAAAATAAATAATAAAATACAGTAAAGTAAAGTAAAATATTATATTTATATAAGAAATCCTGCTTCTTATAAATTCTTTATATCTATTCTGTGAAAGGTGTAAAGCTTGCTTATCTAAAACTGAAGAGAAAAGTCAAGCTAGTAAATCTGCAACTGCAAGCTCAAAAAGAAGAAACTCTCAACTATCTAGGTCTTCAAACTTCAATTCTCCAGCTAAATGTAAACAGAATTTGAATCCTCAAACACCTGTTAAGATTAGAGAATTGAGAAATGACTCTGGTGATAAACTAGATAGAATGCAAGCAGTTGAGATTCCTGCTTTTCAAAATAGTTATAATCTACTATCTGGTGATAGTGATTAGATTCTACTCTATCTTCACTCTCTTTTAGTATGAATGTACAACAAAAACAACAAAAAAAGTTTAAAAACTCTTCAAAAATCACATTTATTCAAAACAATGTGAATAGAAACTCAAATTGTATTTATTCTTGTCTTCAGATTACATTTGAATAAAAAGTCAACTTTGTACTTCTTCAAGAATCAAACTTTGATACTGAGCAAAAGTACATCATTTCTCATTCAAGCTATTACTGCTTTCTTTCTGAAAAATCTGAGATAAAATCAAGAGTAGTGATCTATGAGAGAAAAAGATCAAGATATCAATTTAATCTGAGATTTGATATCATATCTGACTCTGATATTCTAGTGAGTGACATTATAGATAAAGATAATGAGTTTGATACTATTCAACTTATAAATATCTATAATGAAAAATCATTGAAAGAAAACAACAATACCTGAACAATTGACAGAGAATTTTTGAATATAACTCTCTTAAAAAACTCTATAATTGCAGGAGAGTTCAATGCATATCATTTCTGATGAAACTCAGAGTGCACAAGAGCAGTAAGAGCAGATAAACTGATTGAATGAACTTTTGAGCATTCAATAGATTTAGTTAACAAGTCTGATCAACAAACATTCTTTAGAAAAGACATGAAACAGAAATCTATTATAGATCTAACTTTCATGTCACAAAATCTAATTGAAAAAAGACTTATAAACTGGTTTATTGATTCAAATGAAACCTCAGAATCAGGTCATGAGATTATTCAATTTGATATTGAACTGAGTGAAAAACAAAGAAGTGAAAATCCTCTTCTCTCTAATCAGTATAACTTTGAAAAAGCTGATTGAAAAGCAGTTGAAGAAAGAGTAAAACAGCTGAAATCTGAAAGACAGAGTGAGCTCTATTGAAATCAAAGTCAAGATATCTCAAATGAAATGCTTGAGAATAGAGTAAAGCTGATTACATCTATTCTTCTAACAAGTATTAGAGAAAATATTTCAAAGAAAAAGTCTTCTGAGTATTTCAAACCTTGATGAAATGAGAATATCACTTCTAAAAGAAAGTAATTAGTCACTGCTAAGAGAGATTGAAAGAATAACTTAATATCTGATGAAGAGTTCAAAGATATTTGAAAT